CCGCACCATCTGCCAGGGGTCCCAGGGGACCCCCAAACCCCGCCGCGGGGAGCGGATGACGGGGGTGGGGGGGCATGCCAGAGCTTGATTTATAGAAATGCTCTGGGAAAGTGGGGAGGGGGCGGTTTGAGGGGTGTTGGGATGGGTGCAGGTCCCCTCCTGGCATCATGAGCATCACTTGTGTCCCGTTCCCGGGAGCTGGGGAGCAGCGGGGGCCGATTGCAGGAGCTGGGGGGGGTTCAGCTGCGGGTTCAAGCACTGCAGGGCAGCCCGGGGTCCTGGCCAAGGCAACTGGTGCCAGCTGGGAGATGCACTCATGGTGGGGCAGATCATAAGGGGCAGATTGCATGGGGCTGGGCATAGCCCCCGCTGCGGGATGAGGATGCTCCAGGCACCTTCATCCTTGCTGAAACCCATCCTGGAGGTTTTTACCCAAGCGATCGGGATGCAGCGGGTGGCTGCGCTGGCACAGGACCCAGATCCTCCTCCTGGTCCTGCAACCCTCTGCCTGCTCCTGCTCGCATCGCTGCCAGCCTCCTCAGTGCCAAAATTCCTCATCTAGAAGGACCCTGGTGCCTCCCAGCATCACAGGAAACACCAATCCTCTGCCCCCAGGTCCTCTGCATCCCACATCCCCTCCATCCCACGTCCTCTGCATCCCACGTCCCCTGCATCCCCTATCACCTGCACCCCATATCCCCTGCATCCCATGTCCCCTGAATCCTATATCCCCTGCATCCCACATTCCCTGCATCCTATATCCCCTACATCCTACCCTGCACCTCAGCATCACCACCAGCCCCACACCCAGGTCTGGGAAGCCGCTTCCCCAGCACCCATTTCTGGGGTGAAAAGAGCCAAAACCTCACAGAGAAGAGGTCACCCATCCCAGCCCCAGGTCACTGTCATGGTGGTGGGTGCAGCACTGGGGGTACTAGAGATGCTGGGGTGATGTTGGGGAGCTGCTCTGGTTGCCACAAGCTGGGGAGGGGGAGCAATGAGGGCTGATGTGGGTACTTTTGGGGGTATCTGCTGAACACCCTGCCTGCATCAGGTCAGGCTGTAGGGTGTGAGCCAAGGATGCTCCAGGTCCTACCCAGCTGGATGGACCAGGCAGAGTAGAGGAAAGCTCCTCCTACCCCAGATTTGCTCCCCACACCCCAAATTCCCTCCCCACCGCTGGCAGAGACACCTTAGCACCCTCCACAGCATCACCCTCCATCCCAAGAACCTCCTGGTCCTCTCGGGGGCCGGCGCATCCTTCTGCATCCCTCCACCCTCAGGTCCGGCTCCCGGATTGGGGTCCCTCTATCTAAGGGGCGTAGCACGGCTGGACACCCCCATCAGCTTCCCCCAAAAGTGTTGGGAAATGGAACAAAACGGAGCAGAGAAGAAAGGGAAGGGCAGGAGTGGGGTGGGGAGGAGGGGCAGGTGTCAGCAAGCTGCCTCCAGCCATCTGCTGCCAGCTCGGGGGACTCCGGGGCCCCCCCAGCTCCGAGCCTGGCGGGGACAGCGCTGGCTCTCGGGGGGGGAGCGCACACGATGCTGCATCCCCCACCTGAGTGCAGCCACACGGGGGAGTTTCAGTCCCGGCTCTGTGGGGCATTGGGGGGGTCCCCTGGGCTCCCACCCCAAAACCGCCTGCCCAGATGTGCCCCCATCTTGCACACGGGAAGGATGGGGGCAGCACCCACTTGCAAATCAGGGCCCGGGCTTGGGCTCCTTCACCTCCACAAACCTCCTGGTCACATCACTTAGGCCCTGATTTACACCAATTCTGGGACAACTGGACCCCAGGCACAGCTCTGCGGGTGTGATCTGGATCTGTTAGCACAAGTAGGGCATTTTTCCCATGTTTTTCCTGTTTTTTTACATATTTCCCCTGGTTTTACAATGTTTTTCCTGTTTTTCCCGATATTCCCTTTTTTTGCCCGTGTGTTTTCATGCTTTTCCCATGTTTTTCCTGCTTTTCCCATGTTTTTTCCTTGCTTTAAGGAAGACCAAGTCGGAGCATGCCTGGATGAGCCAGGATTGAGACACCAGGACAAGGGGAGCTTCCCCTGGAGATGCCTGGGAAGTCTTCCAGCATCCCACTTCTGGAGAGGATGCTGGAGGGCAGGCAGGACACTCTGAGCACCTCCTGGGATACCCCAAGCATCTCCCAGACACCCCAAGCATCTCCTGGGACACCCTGAGCATCCTCCAGGATACCCCGAACATCCCCTGGGACACCCAGAGCATCCCCTGGGACACCTTGAGCATCTTCTGGGTCACCTTGAGCATCACCCAGGATACCCCAAGCATCCCCTGGGTCACCCCAAGCATCTCCTGGGATACCCCAAGCATCTCTCAAAGACCCCAGGCATCTTCTGGGTCACCCCAAGCATCTCCCAGACACCCCAAGCATCTCCTGGGACACCCTGAGCATCTTCTGAGTCAGCCCAAGCACCTCCTGGGTCACCCTGGGCATCTTCCAAACACCCCAAGCATCTTATGGGTCACCCCAAGCATCCCCCAGAATACCCCAAGCATCCCCCAGGACACCCCGAGCATCCCCCAGGACACCCCCATGTCTGTACCCAAACCATTCCCCTGATCAAGGTGAACCCCACAACCAAGACCTGCCCCCCGCCCGCCAGCCGCAGCCCCGAGTCCCCCCACCATTAAGGCTTTGGCAAAGCGAGGATGAGGAGGGTGACGGCTCCATCTGAGCCACCGCAAGGCAAACCCCGCTGCATTAGACCCTAATCCGAGCGGCCTCGGGGACGGTGACGCTGCGCGGGGGCTCTTTAATCCCCTCCCGTAAGCGATACGGCACTAACTACCCCGATGGGACGCCGGCCACATCTGGTCGGGGGGCTCTGCCGGGAGGGCCCGGCTTTACCTTTCGCTAAGAGGATGAGGATGCAGAGGGGGAATTCGCTAAACCATTTATGCCGCCGGCACTTTTTTTTTCCTTCCCTTTTTTTTTTTAGCCGCCGCGCTCAGATGTCGGAGCTGGCAGGACGGGATCTCCATCTGGATGGAAAGGCAGTGTCCCTCCTCGCTGGAGAGGCACCGCTGGGCTGCTCCATCCAAAAAAAAAATAATCCCCTTTTTCGGTGATTTTTAGGTGGGGAAGCATGAACCCTATGCTCTGCGCCACCCCTGGATGCTCAGCTATGATGGAGGTGATGCTGTCTTACCCATCGGAAACCCCGAGGCAGCTCAAAACCCCCCTGTTCCGACCCTGAACACAAATTAACTGAGAAAATGGCCCAAAACAGCACAGCCCTGCATGGGGTATGGTAAATCCGGCTTTTACAGTGACCCATCCCGAAAATGAGAGGGGATGCTCTGCGCCACCCCTGGATGCTCAGCTATGATGGAGGTGATGCTGTCTTACCCATCGGAAACCCCGAGGCAGCTCAAAACCCCCCTGTTCCGACCCTGAACACAAATTAACTGAGAAAATGGCCCAAAACAGCACAGCCCTGCATGGGGTATGGTAAATCCGGCTTTTACAGTGACCCATCCCGAAAATGAGAGGGGT